GCATTGTGTGATTCTAAATAATTTTTGTTTAGTAAAGATTTTAATTTAGAGCTGGGTTTTTGAGAGGATTTGACATTGACAGGAATTTTGTGTTTAATGGCTAGTTTTGTCCAAGTGTGGATTATTCTTGAGCTGATTTCAGGGACAAAAGGTAAACTGCAGTATAATGTTCTGTTGTTGGGTTTGTTAGTATCAATTTTGTTCGTGAGTTGAGTTTTGTTGTGGTGAATGTTGGAGAGTTTTTCAACAATAGCAGGTGGAAATTTGTTGGTGTGAATGAAGGAATGCTTTATGTGGTTGATTTCTTCATCTATGTAGTCCGTTGAACAGAAACTTGTGGTTGTGTTTATGAGATTTTTCAGTGTATTGATTTTTTGTGTGGTGTCATGAGTGGAATTCCAGGAAGAGCAACCAAAGGACACAAGTCCTTCTTATGGTGCAGAAAGATGAATCCGGGCCAGTACAAATGGAGTAACATAGCAAAGATACATGTAACCCATGACACTTGTATGGTCAGGTACTATACACCACTGTTATAAATCAGTGAATCATGGTTCTCAGACTGCTAAAGCTAGTGTTCTCCAAAGCTATAAAGCAAGAAATTCTCTGGGCTTTGCACAACAAAAAACATGAAAGGCACCATGACATTATCTATATTTGTGCTAACATTTGACAGCATTTCTGACCGCATTCAAGTTGAGATGTTCAGCACTGGTATGAATACTGTGCAGGGTAAACTTTAACAGAGTTATTAGAACTATTCCATAAAGAATAGCCCTGGTACTAATGGTCCTCTAATGGAGACTGAGAAATGTCATTGATAAAAACGTATCGTTGACTACTTCTTAAAGAGTAAGCCATGGCATATCTATTCATCAATACATCAGCACAGTCCAGATCTGAAATGTAAGAGGAGTTCTGTAAAGCACAGTTTGGAGCATTAGAGAAGAATCACACAGATAAAGAAGATTATTTCAAAAGACAAATAATCTCCAAGTTGTATAAAGTGTTAGATTTAAGATGGGCATTTGCTTTATCACCTCCTGTCATTTGATTTAGAAGAGTTGGTAATACAAACTATCCAGTGTATGCTTGCCACATTTGTTAACCCCAGCCAAGCCAACTTGGATGAATACTTGCAGTATGTTATGATGCCATAAAAAGCAGCTGAATAGGGCTCTACACAATATTCGATGATCATACTTATGCTCAGGAGAAAAATACAACTCAATTTTGATATGTAGACATCCTACAATGTTAAAGAAGTATGTAGAGTGGCTAGGGTTAGCAATAGTCAATGTGCACAAATGTGCCCACCAAAAATTGGAAATGCCACTGGACAACAGAATTGTTAAGACAAGACAGTGAAACAATGAATGTAACAATGTGGATCCTGGGTCTAGTTGTGGTTTGTTCCAGCATCATTGAAGCAGCCTAGATCTGACTATAGAAGTGTGTACATTATACTTTAGCAGATCAGTTCACTGATATACAAGTTACAGTGGGAACAAGAGGCAAAGTAAGATGTGTCCATATGTCATGGTCTAACCCCTTATGTACTAGCTTGACTCAAGAGTCAAAGGAAAAGAACAATGTGTTGTAATAGGAATAAGATGCTGTTTCCCCAGTGAGAAGGAAAGAACTGAATGTACTTATATGACTGTCTACAATGAAACAGGTAAGAAAATGTAGGATTTATGGTTGAAAGATAGTTCCACCTGTTAGCTGAGGTGACTATGTTGTCCTCCCAATCAATATAGGTTGGAGATGGTTAACCCTGCTCTTGAGCTTGTTATCACATGACTCTATCTCCAAGTCTAACAATCCTTTTTCATTTAATTCTTTCAGTTTTATAGTTTTCAGAACAGGTATGATCTTATTTCTGACTTATCTTCATTTTAAATTTATTTATTCATTTTACTTTTTAACTCTCTCAACATGGGTTCGGTCAATTTGACCAACCATGTGACCTCTTTATAGTCATTTAGTCTTTATAGATTTAATACTTCTAACTTACAATATAGTATGTATATCTTCACAAAGCTTGGCAGACTTAGTTAATATTATAAGTCTTTCACATACAAAAAATCATGTTTTTTAATGAAGTATTTATAATAAAATAAAGATTTGTCCATGAAAATGTTGAGTACTTGTTTTGAACAGACTATGTGCGAAGTAATTTTCATGAGGAAAAGTATTTATAATTTTAAAATTTCAAAAATTTCATATTTCTTTTGTGTAATTCCTAAAACCTCTTAAATGCAGTTCAAACGTTTTTTTGGTAAAACTTTATAGTTTATCTATTATTTTCTCTACCCAATCTCAAAACGGAATCAGTAAATTCAACCAACCAGGTAACAACCAAAAAAAATCTAAATTACCCTTTTTTTCCTTCTAGAATGACTACAAATTATAACATCAAACTACATTCATTTATTTTAAGTAGCTCTAAATTCGTAACAGTATACATCTATTTATAATTAAATTTTATTGTTTTATTGCCCTTTGAACCACGTCTGACTATTATCCGTGCCATTATAAGTTGTAAATCACTTGGAGAGCATACAGTTCATATTACACTAATGAATTACATTACCCACAAGCTACTACGAGCTGCTCGTGTGTGTGCCTCATGAAACATTATTATAATTTATTGTTATTTATTTTATCTATTCAAATCTTAACTAACCTAAAAGGATCCCTATTTTTGCATTTTAGTAACTTTTATAATTAGACATGAATAATAAACATGAAAAACAAGAAATAAAATACTTAATCAATTTTCTTTTTTCTTGCTATCGTTTGTCGAAGAGGGTTAACCCCAATTTTTTATACTAATGATAGTAGTGCATTTAACAATTTTTATTTAATTAATGCACCAAAGAATATAAACATGCAAAAATTAGACAAATTCCCTTACCTCTCAAAATTGTTCTTGCTTTCTAAGTATGAAACAAGATTCATTACAAGTTCATCCAATCTAGTGATTAACTTTTTCACAGGAATGATGTTGGTACTCTGAATGAAATTGACATTTAACCATTCAGAACATAATGTTATAGAATACTTCATTTGAAAGATCAAAACTTTGACTTTCTATTGGCTATAGGTAATATATAATTGAATGCAAGAGAGAACTATTAATGAATTCTGATAGAGAGGATGTGACAGGTAGGTGTGGCAGTAGGGGTCTGATTTTCTATTTGATAGCTCTGTAATCAAACAAAATTGAAGACTACAAAAATTATGGTTTGTCTGAGCAATGACAATCTTACAGAATGTAATTCACGTTTAATTTCTGAGGGGTGGATAAAACAGGGAAGATGACATGCTAAGAGAAAATGTGTCCTGTGTGTCACACTAGGGGAAATTCAGAATTTTCTTTAATATTGCCTTGTAGAATTAAAAACTTAAAACTAACATACTATTAAAATATGGATTATTAGCTAAGATTTTATACTATTCTAATTGGTACAACAACAAAAAGTTTAAAAATTTTTACACTAAATGTAAAACACTAAAACCTTGTGTCATGCGCAATAAAGGATACCCGTGGTGATAGGGCTAATGCAAGTAAAATGGAACAAGATCAACTTCTAGATGACTGAACATTACTTCAGTCTGCTCATACTTGCTAAACATTTCATAAATATATAGTGTTTTAATTCATTTTCTTTCTATGATAACTTACATAATGCTCTTTCTTTGGCACCTTTCTTTTCATTTCACATTCATGAGAGAAGGATGGTCTGACTTAATTATGTTGGGAAACATAATCCTTTTTATTTATTTATTATTTTTTTCATTTCCCTTTTAGTATCTTATTTATTATTTCTCTGCTATTAGCATTCTAAATTATTTAGGTTTACCTGAAGTGGGGTTTATTCTTTATTTGATTTTATTACTGGGCAACTACCTTCATGTAATTGGCTGCAAAAAGTGATTGGTAGTTTGGTTCAGGACTTTGGGGTTAAGGACCTGAACCAGGCCCTCTAATAATTTCAAATGTATTATAGTTTTTTTTGCACAACAAATTCTTACCCATGTTATGTATAATGAAAATATGGATTATCTTCATTGCTATTTGAATGCTAGTATGCATTTATACACCATTCATGACTATATAGATTTTTGACTTTTTTTTCCAGCATGTCTTATCCTTGCACATTTTTGGATTACATTTTAATACATTCGCTGCCATGTGCCCCACTGGTGGGTCACTACCAACTTTTAGTTATGGACTGCGTGACACACTGGTGAGTCACAGACGATTTTGTTTCAAAGCCAAATTTCTCTTGTGGCATATGAGTTTGAGACACTGTGACTGCTCCTTGGCACCTCTTGAATATTTAATTTTATTTATATTTAATTTATTATGTGGCAGCAAACATGTTAAGGTATTTTCACTTCACTCTTTTGTGACTGCTAATAACTTTCTCCCACTTACCCCACATGATGTTCTCATTTCATAACTACAATTTATTCAGTCTAATGTTTGAACTTTACTATTGTTTTTATTTCATGTTCAGATTGAGTCCTTTTTAATTCATCATAACTTAATTTATGTGTGTGAATAATATTATGGCATTCACCTAATTTATTATTCAATATTATACAGAAGACCAATGTTTAATGATTCTATATGTATGTTACAGATTTATTTTATTTTTTACCAAAGATAAAATTTAAAATATCATCTGTGACATAGAAGCCTAATGCGTTCCTTGACTGGCTGTACCCTCTGCTGTGGACTGCAGTTTTGCCTATTTAAGGCTCATCAGTATATCTTGGGCCAGCAAATCAAAGAAATACAGTTAGGCCTCTTACAATGTGATGCATATATAAGAATTATGGAGTTTTTGAGTCATTTCTGTACCACTATATAGTAACCTAAATTAATTTAGGTATGTGTATTATATTATGGCATTAGATCTCTCTACTTTGGTGAAAGTATGTTAAAAATTGTATTATTCACATTAATGTGGAATTACACTACAAACCTGATTTAAGTAGGCTTTGCAGATCCTAACTATTTTTGCCATCAAAACAGGATCTGTATGCAAATATGGGCCTAAAGACAAAATCATTGGAATAGCATGATCATGAAACTCTATGAAACTGCTCACTGTTTTCACATTCATCCCTACTGACTGAGAAACCTGTCCCAAACATGAAGGCAGTCTACATGATCTACAGAAAAGGATGAAAGACAAAAGTTTAAGTATATAAAATTTATCTACTTTCAGTGCAGCATGAAGTAAAATTATACAAAATAATAAATTTTGAAAAAAATTATTGTTATAGAAAAATCCTGTACTAGAATAAATAGTTAGAACCACACTACTATTGTTACTTTACAAAGCAAAGGCCTAAACATCACACCTACATCTGCACAAGAAATCCTTTATTCAGTATCCACAAGATCTTCTAAAAAGCTAAATTTTTACCTTCTGTAGAGCAGTTCCACAACAGTACTGATCAATTTAGCCAGTCTGCTATTGATGGATGGATGAGACACTGTAAACAACTCAGGCAATCTTTCCATGATAGCACTAGCATGTTTCCAGTCGCCAATGTCTAATAGAGCACTGCAGAGTCCTAGCTTTTGGTTATCTTCCTATATGAATGATATAATATAATATTAAAGATCACTAAAGCACCAAATTCATTTTAATCATTTAATCGCTTGGAAAAGAAGTATCTCATAAACTTTAAAGTCGAAAAAGTATTTAAAAAGAAGAAGACACCACAATACAGCATTTCTTAATAATTAATGTCACATCAGTATACATTAACAAAACTGTATAATGTTTGGAGACGGCTTGATTGGGTAATGAAGAAAAACTTTAATATAAGTTTAACATAACAGCAAATGTACAGCTTTTCGACAAGGTTTTGTCATTGAGTTTAACACAACTGTGATTTATGTTTGTTTTAGAGCAAAGCTAACATTGGGCTATTTGCTGTGTCCAGCCCAGGAGGGATTGAACCCAAATTTTAATGTTGTAAGTCCACAAACTTGCTCCTGCCCCACTGGGGGATTGCACAACTGTGCAATACCTTAATATACACCTAATGGTGATGTCACAAAAATACTCTTCATCATAAAGTAAATAAAAACCACCCTTTTAATTTTAGTTATTAAAAGCTCTTTTCTTTGTTACAATAGCTTCTTTTTTTTACTCTGAACACTGGGTTCACATCAATAAATTTTTGTTTTTAATTTCAATGTGTTGTGTATCTTTAAAATGTTGATAGATGTATGAAAAAACACATTCATGTTCTTCTGTTCTTGAACTTAAATTTCACCCAGTCTTATTGTGTAAACACTGCTACAACCATGCATCTACACTGTATCCAATCTCTGTTTTCAGTTACACATTCTTTAATTCTTTTCTCAAAAGAGGAATTTAACTTTTTTCCAATGTATAAAATTCCTCTGCCATGAGGAAAAGTGTTTACAGGGGGTGAAATGTTCCAAAAAAGATAATTTCCCTCATGGGAAAGTAACTTTTTTTTCACTTTCCCTCATATTTCAATGATTTTCCTCACACTAAATAGATTTTCCTCTATAAAATTGTAGATCTATTGGAATGTGGAATTTATGTTTAACATAAGACTGTATATTACGAATGCAAATATTTATAAAATTGGGTTGATAAATGCAATACTCCATGAAAACAAATAAGTTTTTTCACGTGTATTAAACTATGAAAATCTAAGTTTGTAAAATCAGTCCTTGCAGTGTGTATGTTTGATTTCACTTTTTCCTTCACATTGAACTGCTTTAGTGTTTTCAGTGTTGCCTTTATCTTAGATGGGATGTAGGCCATGATATAAGAAGTTTCATGCAGTGCCAAGCTAATGTATATGAGAAAATAAAAAATCTTTTAATACAAATATTGTCAATACTGATCTTAGTAGTGTAAATTCTTTCCTTAATTTAGATGCTTTGCCATAAATTTCTGCACATTTACTTCTAGTTTCTTCAATGATTTCAGCTGCATGTATCACCAGTGGTTGCCACATTTTAATCACCATACTTAATGTTTGTGCTCGATGACTAATCCATCTTGTTCCATAAACATTTCCTGGAGATAAAAATTTGCTGTTTCTGTCTCACGGGTATTTTTCAGTGAAGCTTTCTGTACTGATAAAAATTTGTATATAGCCTGCAATAACTCAGACATTTGTGGAACCAGTCTTGACTTTTTTGATGCATCTTTCAGTGACAGTTTGAATCTGTGTGCCATGCAATGGATACCTTCAGTCTCTGGTAGAAACTTCAAGAATTTCTGATACATTCCATTTCAAATGCCAAAATTCGCAGCAACTCCATTAGCCACAAATGAGACTAGGTCTGACAAATCATCCACCTGTAAATATTTTTTCAAACTGGTGCATAAATGATCAAGAATGTGGTCTGCATCAGGTTTTTTCACATTGCACACACACAAAAAAACAGTGCAAGGCTCATAATCTTTCAAGAATTGCACATACACAATTTTCTCTTCCAATGAAGAAACATCTGTACCACCATCACATGATACAGAAAAAAATATGCTGTTTTGAATATTATTTACCAAATCAGCATTCAAATCTTCAGCAATTAATTTCACAAACCCTACACAAGCTTTATCAGATGAATACCTTGATATAATATTGGCACACTGAGACCCACCACTCCTTTCTAAAAGCTGAAGATCACCAGCGAAAGCTTTATATGACATTGCAATTTGCAACTTTGAATGTGGTCACAAATTCTTTGAACATCAGTTCTTTGTTGGCTTCATCTAGTTTTGATGCACATTTAATTATACGCTGCTTTTCAGGTGAAGTCATTTTTGACAAAGCTGCAGCCTCGTAGCACCTGTGAAAATCACTGGATTGATGCATTTTGATGACTTTTAGCTTCATAGTTTTTGTTCCCTTGATAAAAGCATCACTGTATTGCCATACATGGCCAACTTTATTGTGATATGTGACATAACAGGAACACAATATTTTATTCTGTTCAGTTTCAAGCCATGGTCTACCTATCTTCCAGCTGGCCTAAAACTTTCATTCATGTTTAATGAGCTCATAATCTATTTGACTAGCTGATGATAATCCTTTGCTTGGCCTCCCATGCTTGTCCTTGTAGATTTACTCAGATGTGGGCATGGATTTTGCTCCAGGAATAACCTCAGGCTCTGCTAAAATTAATAAATGTTGAACATGTGGTATTGCAGGTAATATAAAATTCAAAATTTAAATTAATTAGCCTAAGTATTACACCAAAGCAAAATTGGCTTATACTATGAATTTCTTTTCTTACCAACAGCAGAAGATGAAGCTTCTTTAAGTTCGTACTCTACACTGACATTTGCACCGTCTCTGTCAATAGACCTATATACTGGTGAATCTTTGTTCACAATTTTCACATCCATAGTTTTACAAGAGTTACCTGATGATTGTCTTAGACATTTAGGCAAAAGCTGATGTTGCTGTGTCTGTTGGATATACTACCTTCCTGGCCTTCTTCAATGGGCATGTAAGTGGATTTTGCCTCAGGCATAGCAGTTTTTGATCTAGGGTGGCTAGAACTGTCCTCTGATTTCCTATTTGTTCCTTTTGTAAATCCAAAATTCAGAAGACTCATGTTGATAACAGAATTAGAATTAGCTCAAACTCAGTAGCCCTCCCTACTCTGCTTGCCACTTATCTGTCACTCTGTGTGCCATGTCCTAGTGTAGCAAATACTACAATTGCAATCTTAGAGAGATTTGAACTGATAGTTTATATTACAGACACTTTAAATGGAATTATTGTGTTTATTTTGACCCAATATTAATATATATAAATCTGACAAATTATTTATTTATATTTGCCTTGAAATGAAAAACTTAAAAATTGATCCAGAAATTGCTACATATTTTAAATTGTGACTACGACAATTAAAGATGGTTGCCTTCATAGCACGTTTCCATGCTCTGCCATACTGCATATATTTATCTCTTCAGAAGAAAAAATAATGAACTTTCAAACCACATTTAAGAGAATTAAAAAACAGGGTCGTTATAGTTTTGATAATCTCCGTATTGAAGAGGGATATGACATTTTGGTCTGATTCCCATAAATTTATGGGAAATGAATGACAACTCAGTCATTTCTTGTATGGAAAATCTAGCCTTTCTACTAATTTCCCTTAATGAAACTTGATTTTCTATGGAAACTGGGAGAGCATAAATTTTGACCCCTGGTTTATAATTTACTTCTGAAAAATACTTCTGATAAAGTAAGATAACTAGTGAATAAATGAAAATTTGTAAAACCTAATATAACAAAAGGTGAAATTAATGTTTTCAAACAACTTGTAGATATTAAGCCATGTCATTACAAAGGTTGAAAAAGGTAATGCTGTTGTTGTGATGAATTATCACAATAAGTGCATTACTGACTGATCAAGAAAATTACAATTAACAACCCTACTAAACATGAGGAAAACTGAACCAACTCTTAATAAACTAAAGATACAATATTTGGAATTGCTATTAAATATATAACATAGATTCTACACGTTTTATATACTACATTCATTTGTTCAAATTAGTTTTCCAATTAAAATTTATGTGAAAAATTAATATTTTCTCACTTTAATATCATAACAACGTTACTACTTATTTTGACAAGCAAAAAATATCCATGGTTACATGTTTGTTTTTTTTTTACTATTCAAATATACTTACTAGTAGCAATGTTACATTTCATAAAAGAAACTACGAATACATTAACCTTAAAGGTTTCTTCTTCCACTTGTTCTTCCTTTGTTTCCAATGGCATCATGACAAAGTTTGCACGACGAGCATAAATTTTTGCTGTTTGTATTTCATTCTTGTAAGATTCTATCATTTTACTATCCTGTGGCATTAGCTGCAATAAAAAAGGTTATTAATTTTATTATAGTAGCATTGTAATGCTATTCTGAAACATGTTTAAAAAATATAGTGTGTAAATCAAAAGATATAGAAATTAATAGAAACAGCACATCATTTGAACATTTAAATTATGTACCATATGCATGAATAACGTTTGTTACATATTTATTCTGTATCACTAATATTTATACTTCTGTTTATAAATTCATGCAATTGTACAAAAATGAGATACCCATATACTTTAAAGTTAAAAATATAAAGAGCTAAAAAAAAAAAGATTAAAAAACAAAGACACCACAATTCTTATTTAGGCCTACTGATTCCATGTTTTCCATCAACTGGGAGAGGTAAAATTCCAGGTTTTTTCCAGATCAAAATTCCTTTTTCCAGGTTTCATGAGTCAATGTATTTTGTGTGTTTTTTATTTCATTTCAAAAAGGTAACTCGAGGTAAATTTACTGTGTATTTATGAAAATCTGATAAAGTTTAAAATTATTGATTTATTTTTAATAGCTATTACCTGTATCTAAAATTTAATTAATTATCAGCAGTAATAATGACAGATTATGAATGAGTCTGATTTGACTAACAATAAAATTAGAGAGCAAGTAAGTGGCACAGTGTTTCAGTTATGTTGAACCGGGTGCACTCCTTCGTGACATTATTTTTGTCACATACTGTGGAGGAATGTATAAAAAAAAACAAAAAACTATCAAGTATTTGTTCCAAAACTTTGTTTATGCCTACTATGGCATCTGGAATGCTACATTGCCTCAGCTTATTTTAGAATTACTGAACACCACTTAGGGCATTTTATTGTGGCACTCAGGAATGCACGTAATGAAAATTTTTAAAAACAATGTTTCTAAAATTGTTTTTGATTGGATACTAACTTATCTATCACCCAATCAAAAACAGTGTTATGGAACACAATCAGCAACACCATGAAAATGACAGACAATCAAAAAATAAAATAAATACTTTGTATGCACACTCCAAATTTACTGGCTTATTCCCAGTTTTTGACAAAATTGTAATAATTCCCGAGCAGTTCCTAACTGGGAGAAAAAATATGTAATTTTCCTGTTTTTCTCACATTTCTGATGGGTGTGAAAACCCTTATGATGACAAAGTTTAATAAAATTATTAAAGTTTTCTATAACCTTTGTCACCAATAGAATTTTAACTAACTTCCTTGTCAAATCAATAACCAAAAAAGATTTTAAACTTGTAGCAAGTTGTCATCTGCTATGCTATTATTTAAAAATATAATAATGGGAGTATTGTAAGTCCAAAAGTGAATAGGTACACTGGTCAGATAAAATAAGATTCCAGAAACAATGAATTTTGACCAAATTATTTAAATAATGAAAACACCATTTTCATTTAATTTTGTTTAAATTTCAAATTATTTAATATTCATTTATTTAAGTAGTGAAATTTGAAATACTTGTTAGCTTGTGCTTAACTGATGTTAGATTTCTGTTTACTTCTGTAATTGTTGAGCCTAGAGAATGAAATTGTGGAAATTGCAAGTTTTTAAGTGTGATCCCCCTGAAAACAGTATATATCAGACTTAATAACACACCTGTTATTTTGATTCAAATACAAAGTTCCACAAGCAGGCCTATATTTGTACCCAAAAAGTTTTCCTGGCCCATGTGTTTTAAGTAATAAACATGACTACATTTTACTTCAATTTTGACCAATAAGAGGGAAACTAGACCGTAATTCTACTACATCCAAAACAAGGCTAATAATATTTCTATTGCATCAGCAAGCCTCATTCCATGGCAAAGAACGAGGGATGGAGACCCAGCCACAATGAACCAGGTGGATGACAATTTTAACTTTTATATTTCTTTGTGTTGTTTAGGGCTTATTTTTCTAATTATATGCATAAGAGAGAGTAAATAAAGAAAAAGAACATTTGTAGTGTGATTTCCAATACAGACAAGAAATAAAATACACACAGAATTACTGTACTTATATATTATAAGAAAACCTTTGAACTACTACATATGTTGTTAACATCAATACACTAGTGATGTATCCACCCATAAGCTTCTGGGTTAAGGATAGCCAACTTACATATGTCTAATGACCCACAATTCATGCAAACCAAACCTTTAAAGGTGTTGTAGAATTGTAATAATAACTTCTTTAATGTGGAATTAGAAAAACAGTAAACATCCTATTCCATCAAATAAATGTAACTGTTCACCCTTCATAATACTTTTCAAAGTGAAAAACTAAACATTTCAAGGATTTCTCTCAAAATTTCTCCTCTGTTCCCTTAATTTTTATACAAGGGGTCAAAGGGCCCTAAAACTAGAGAACCTAGGAACAACACTGGCTAATGTACATAAAGTGGGTTAATGTCTACCATAATAACTATTATTAATTTCATATTTTTAAAGTAAAATCCTTATTTTTATGTGCACTTATAATATTTAAAACTTTAGTAGAGGTACAAATTTGCTTTATTCAATTGTAACTTCACAATTTAACAGTTTTTCATCATGGAAGTTAGCATTTTCCTACAATTAAAATGTATTTCCGATAGATACTTATTTCCTCTCACAAAAAAGTTTTTCTTGTCTAGCACTGCCCTCTATTGGCACAAATTTTTCAATGCATGCCACTAGCCTTCTACCTCCTGCTCCTGCATATCCACATGCAAATGATCATGCAACAGCTTTCCACCAATAGGAACATGACACTACTCCTATTATAACCAACATCTTCTTCACATCTGCACTCATTAATCATTTTGAGATTGATCTCTTATATCATCAGAAATGTGAGAGGAAGTAAGTATCTATAGGAAATGCATTTTCAGTGTAAGAAAATGCTAACTTCTGATACAATATCTTACCTCTGCTAAAATTCCACATTGAACTGGTGAAGGGCCAATAAAAAAATATGATCCCACTTTAGGAAGCGTTCAAAGAGAGACCAGTAGGTATGGAATCAAAACAGAAAACATCACATCTCAGTGGGAAACTGCAACACATCTGATCCAGGTATACTCTTCATTCTTTTATGACAGTATTGTGAACATAAAAGGTGGAAACATGAAAAAAATCCCAGAATATGTATGCCCAATGAATAGGACTTCTGGGTGTTGAGTGGCAAGGACACAACAGACTGTAGTTTGACCTCAACCAACACTGAGCAGTCTCTGAAATGGTACATCAACGCCTACCTCTTCACCTCAATATGGGAATTGGTAGGGAAGGCAAGCTTCAGTACCAAAATCCATCACTACTTGTGCGCATTTCCAACCCAACAAACACCAGATCCGCTGAGAACTGACACACAGCAGACAGTAAGAAGGTGGAAAGCCCCAGCAGAATGACATCTCCAGTCCAAAACGTGGCAGCAGTGGGCATTTGTCATCCAGTCCATGTTAAAAGGAGGGAAACCTGCCAACACAGATGTGGGGATTTACTGAGCTGGTCCATCTCCAACCAACACTGGACTCACCAGGAATATACATCTGGAGGACAGTAGGGAGGAGAAAAGTCTAAGCCTGAGAGGATAACTGAAATGATATATATATAACAGTTATGACATGGCAGAGTGCTTCAACCAAAACCTGTTGGCTTCTGGAATTGATCAATAGGTCTGTGGTAGGAAGAGCATCATGCCATAAAAGAAAAAAATCAATCAGATATGTAGACCGAAAAATGGCCCAGTACAACAACAAAAACCAGGCAGCACCTGGAATTTTGCATCAAGTTCATGGTAGGAAGTGCTATATGCCAGCAACAACTGCAGAATGTCATTGCCCTACTCTCAACTTAGTGGTATGATTCATCACTCAGAAGGACACAGTCCACCATTTCAGCAGCTAGGAACTGGCAAATGGTAAGGACTCTCATTTTTCACTAGCAGAAAGGGGGGAAAAATGCATTGGAGAGTCCAGATAATGGCATAACCAGAGACAGTGCAACAGGTGACTGCAACACCCTATTTTGTAAAGCAGAGCTACTACTCCACAGGGTCAATCAACCAAAACCAGGCAGCATATGGAATTGTACATCAGGTCTGTAGTAGGAAGAGACTCAATGATATGGAGCAGCAGAGATGGGCAGCAATCTCTATATGCTTTACTCATGTTAGTCGATGAGTGTACAGTCCAAGACAACCATATTTATGAAGTAAAATACTGCTAGAGAGAACTACTCTAAGTCCTACAGAACACCCCATCTCTACAGTGTGTATAACCCAAACCTGTGATAAAAATATTTAGTTATGGATAACAAAAAACAGAGACACACAATCAACACCAGGCAGCATCTGGAATTGTACATCAGCTCTGAGGCAGGAAGAGCTATAATGTAATTGACAATAGCATGGTTGCAGGATGGACAGAGTGTATTAAAAAAAGTGTATCTGGTCAGACACCACTTACCACAGAAAGAGATCCACAATACAAAAGGAAAAAGGCCTTGAAAAGTGAGAAAAATTTGGGGGGGGGGGGGGGCAATCTAGCACAATAACAAAATGCAAACACTGAAATAAATATTAAAGAAAAAATGAAGTCAGTTGTAAAACTAAAATATCGACAAATCCACAAACAAAGACTAGCACGTCTATACAGCACTACTGCCAACCTAGAAATGATTAATGAGTGCAGATGCGAAGAGGACGCAGTTTACGATAGGAGTGGTGTCATGCTCCTATTGTTGGAGAGCTGCTGCATGGTCATATGCATGTGGATATGCAGAAGCAGGAGGTAGAAGGCTAGTGGATGGCATTAAACATTTGTGCCAATAGAGGGCAGTGCTAGTCAAGAAAAGCTATTTTGGGAGAGGAGGTAAGATATCGTATTGGAACCTTTCCTTCTTAAAAATACTTCCACTCCACAATATACTAATCACATTTTGGATCAGGCATCTAATATTATATGAATATTTTATTTCTTACAATTATATAAATATAACACTTAAAATATACACAACTGTAAAAATTTCAAAATCTTTATCT